CCATTTAATCCATTTTTTTATTATTTTTATGTAATCATTGATATTTAGTACGGCACTAATACATTTTAGTTCATCTATGATTAGAAACTATTTATTAAAGTTGGATTTATTGCGATTTAATATTAATCAACTGAAACTTGGGTTAGTATATTTTTACATAACTGGCTTCAATTACCTTTATGTATTATTTCTTAAATAAATATGCATTTTTAAATTAAGCCTAATTAAATGCAAGACTCGAATACTCAATAAGCTGAATAACGCACCCAATATAAAATATTACTAATTAAAAAACTTAATCTTTTTTACTGTCTAAAACCTCGAATGCCAATAATTAGCAGAAACCTGTTGGCTGACCACCCAGGATGAAGTGTTATTAATCTTACATGAGATTTTTTATTCACTTTTTTTTTAATTTAATAGAGAAATAAATTATTTAATGTTTAGTTTTTATAATTGTTATTATTAAATTCAACTTTTTTATTATTTAAGGCATATTAGTCATTGTAGTTTTTCCTGAAAAAATATTGATTATAATTTAAAATGCCAATGTGCAAAGCATACATGTTTTAATAATACAAAAACTATATTAATAAATAAACTTTAATGGATAATTTTTAAGGGCTATCGACTTTCGTCTTTCTGTCCATTTACAAAACAAACAATTAATATATACCTAATATATCTTTAGACAAAAAAATGTGATTACAAAAAATCGAAATATTCATTACAATCACTTTTACTTTTCACTTTCTACGTGGTACCATACGTATTATTTATATTTTGTAAACTTGTGAGTATGTATACTTATATATCTCAAGTAGGTAAGTTAATTTTAACGTTTTTAGTTTTAAATTAAAAGTTTTGAAAAATTTGCGATTTGGCAAGAAATATCAACTCGAAATTAAATCGGCAGTGAAAGAAAATGTAGTTACAATGGTGGGCATGGAATTTCAAACATTATAATTTGGTCTCCCTTTTATGATTCTGTAAATAGCAAGGATAAAATAATTACCATTTTTGCTTTCGCTGCATGTCAAAATGATAAGAGTAGGGATAACAGGAAGTAAGGTTAGTTGTCCATAAAGGCAGTTCAGATATATGATAAGTCGTCTGAAATTCCCATTTTACCTAAAAACACTAAAAAATGAATGGTTTTCTTTTTTCTCACTCGTGATAAAATTTAAAAATAAAATAAAATAACTTGTTTTGACACTTTCGGTTTCCAATAGAAACTAACCGTTTGCAAAACAACGTGGTATTACCACTTAATTTGCATTTTACATTGTTACAACAATGCATAAGTAAAATATTCGGTACAATTTACATTAGTAGTTTTATATATAAAAACATATTTTGGAGTACCTATAATCTTATTAATAATATTCAATAATATTTGAGTCTAAAATTTGTGAAACTAAAACAGCACAAAAAAAAACAAATTTATAAATTTATAAATTTTTATCGTGCATTATGCATAGAGTAATTTCTTATCTATAGATATATTATATTACGTAATATTATTATTTTTTTCGACAAGAGACCAATAGTATAGTATACTATTGGTCTCTTGTCGAAAAAAATAATAATATTACGTAATATAATATATCTATAGATAAGAAATTACTCTATGCATAATGCACGATAAAAATAAATCTACAATAAATTAGAGAAAATAAATAATACACGACTTGCACCTCTTGGTAGGGACGGCCTACATAATGTTTAATTATTTCAATAAAATAAAAACATGCCGAAAAATTATTAACATGTTAATAAAGTCTTGTTTCTTTTAATTAGGATATTTAACATTAGATCCTAGGTAAGAATCATTTGTACCTATAATAAATTAATTGACTTGTTATTAGAACACTGCCTTATTCATGTTTTTTTAAATTGGAAAACATTGTTAGTATGTAATTGCAACATAAACTTTTCATTTTATTTTTCTGAAACTAAAGCAATACAAACACAGTAAAAGTTGGACTTTGAAAATTCATTTAATTAAAGCATGTTTTTACAAGAGAGATATGGGATTGTTGTAAAAGCTGACGACTTAAAATTTTCCCAGTTACATTAGAAATTTATTTTCGATCGATGAAACAAATACAGTAAAGCTAAGTAGTTTTATCAATAAAGTTTTCAGGCCAAATGGATTAAACTAATCTATTTACTTTGGAGTTTCGATGAAAAATAAATCGTTAGATATTTTGCAGATACTGTAAAACGGAACAAATTTTATTACGTTGAATTATTCTTTTGCAAGAACATTGCAACAATGAAATTTAATTTTTCAACTAAAAATAATACCTACAATAAAATAAAGACATATACAAGGTGTTCCACATTTTAGTAGCAGGACTTCAGCAGCTAATGATAAGTTTTATAAAAGTTTATATATAAGTTTTTAAAAAAAAGTCTTTAATATTTTCTAAATTAATTGTATAAATATATTTAAATTTCTCCAAGGTAGTATTTATCATTACTAACTCTCTAAAAATGAATTAGTCAAAAATGACTAATTGTCATAGCGAAAAAGCAGCCAGTAATAAATCTCGTCAAAAGCAATTTGTATCCCGAACATTTAGCAGTCAATTTATATGAAAAAATGTCTCCTGAATCCAAAAATGTCCTCAAAAGTTAACAAAGTAGAACAGTTTTTAAGACAGTCAATTTTCAATATAATATGGAATTGACTATATCTCAAAAACAGCTCTACTTTCATAATTTTTGACGGTATCTTCGAATTCAGGGGACCATTTTACATAAGAATTGGGTGATAAAAATTTGGGATACCATGGTATAAGTGAAAAAGCAGTCACTAATACTGCAATACTGCCCTGTTAAGCTAAAATGCCTTATCTACAATATTAAAATACCGAATCTATTTATTGTTAACAATTTTATTTTAGGGTCAATATTTTAAATATGTGATTGTTTTATGTATATAATGCTATTGTATCTTAATTAAAATAGGTTTAACAGTGGTGAATTATTTGTTTCGATTTTATCATCGAGAATATTATCAGTATTTTTATGTTTGTTAATTTCTAAAGACTCCAATAGATTTAATTTTGTGGCTTTATTTTCTAAATGTCCTCTCTAAAAATGAATTAGTCAAAAATAACTAATTTAATCGTTATAAGTGGCTGCTTTTTCACTTGTATCATGGTTAACCATGGAATACCATGGTATCCCAAAATGTCGTCAAAAGTTAAAAAAGTAGAACACTTTTTGAGATATAGTCAATTTTCCATTTAATATGGAAATGACTATATCTACTTCAGTCGGCGTAAAGATTGTTCTCACGTGCTGCGTTAACTATAAGAAAACATCGAAATCGCCTTAATAATGAATCTGCACGATCTTTGTTATGCCTAAACGACGGTCTGAAAAACAAAAATATTTGCGACCCAAAAAGCTGTTAGCAGATTTGTTTGCAATTATTTACAAAATGTTAAGTTTTTGTTTTGTTTAAAAGTAATATTTAAAATAGATGATGTTATCTACAGTTGTAATTTTCTCTTCCCACCCTTACATTATAGCAAGTAGGTAAGTATCCGGGATACTTACCTACTGCATCCCTTACTGGACTGGAACAAAATTATCCATGAAGGGATTTCTATACTTTTGCGAGACTCTCGTACGAGAAACGAGACGAGACGAGACTTGATACAAGACTTTTTATTTTATCGGCGAGACGAGACAAGACTTTATGAAAGTCTGGTCTCGTTGGTCTCGTGGGAATCGCTAATTTTTTTTTAGAGATAAGGCGATTATACAGCGGTTCATTATTTTCTTAAAGATTATTTGACACTGACATTTGTCATCGAATCTGTGGTTATGGTAATTACACAAAATTGTGCTAAATTCATTAGTAAAATAAGAAAAAGTATGGAATTCAACTCTTGAGAAATGGCCCTTTTTATTCGGATGAGTTATTCCACTCGCCTTCGGCTCGTGTCGCAATATTTCATCTTCAACTTTCTTAATCGTTGAACAATCTACTCATTTTGCATAATATTGGGTTTTTCCATTAAAAATGATAACCATTATAACCGCCGCGCCTAATAACGAAAATAAATAACTCAATCACATTGTAATACCTCTGTTACAATAGTGTTGATATTAATGTTAATATCCAAAGCATAGAAGAATATGTGTATCCGTTCACAATGATGGTAATACCATCATTTTGAACGGATACGCGCATTTTTCTATTCTTTGGATATTAACATTAACATTACCATTAACCTTAACATTAACATCAACACTATTGTGACACAGGCATAAGGCATCAGTCATGGTCCAATACTCAATATTTACTGTGATTCGAATCGATCGGGTTTTTAATTGGGAGATGGCGACTATAATAATATTTATTTCCACCTTCTTAGTAAATGACATTTTATAGGTTAATTTTGTTGTTTTTGTATCCAAGTAAACGATACATTATGGGAACAGACCTGTAATATTTTACGGGCTTATAGAAAAGCAATTTATGAAATAAAATGACATATTAATTAAAATTTTGCTTTGCAATTAATCTTTACTAGGCTCACTGTATTAAAAACTTCCAGATTCATTCACAAATCTTGACACGTAAATAACTATTAAAATTGGTAAAGAGAGGTTAACCATCTGATGGATTTCAGATTTTATTTATTTATATTTGAAAATCATTTAAATATCTACTATTGGAGTATAGTATTACACTCGAGATTATGCGCATTAGATATATCTCGTATAATAATATACCTACTTTTTTAAAAATTTATTAACGCCGAAATTTGTCATCAAATCTGTATTTGTAGTAATAGTACAAAATTGTACTAAATTCTTTAATAAAATTTAAAAACTATCCCTTGAGAAATGGCTATTTCACGAGCTGAAGGCTCCTTTCTTTCTTAATCGTTGAACAATATAGTATTTTTGTTTTTAAGTTATAACTATAATAGTAATTATAATAATTAGATTCCTTATAGATAAATTTGCGTCAGTTACGTTTTTCTTTTAAGGGATATATGAAACATATTCAAGACATTTGGAGCCTCATTAATTCCCATATTAATAATTTTTGATGGGCGAAGAGATATGTCTTCTGTCACTTTTCTTTTAATTGCATTTTGTAGCTTCTTTACTTGAAGATTTTCAATGGAAGGATGGTTATGCTGACCATTTACTTGGAGTAGAACCTCTTCTGTCTTGTCCACGGATATAGATGCGCTACATGTTCTAACTGTACATCTATAAAAAACACCAAGTGCCGTTTCTCTATGTTTACGAAACTTATACTTTTGAATTACGATCAATTTTTTGCCTCGCTCACTTAACATAGTTTCCATTTTGAATAATTCACTTTGCTCCCAAGAACTGAATTGATTAAATAATGCTAAACTATATAAATAAATAGTTTATATAACTCAATAATAATTATTATTACCTAATCACCAAATAATATTACCTTAATAAGGATTAAATTAATTAATTGACAAAATGATGTTTAACAATATTAAACATTTTTTTACCTTAAATGAGGTATTTTTTTTAATTGAAAATCGCATTCTTATTATTAAAAAAAAAACAATTTTAACTCCATTTTTCAAGAACTATAAAAATCACCCCGTATACAAATATTGCAAATAATCCTTTAATGCTGACAGGTAAAAACTGAACATTGTGCGCAATCGATAATCACCGCTTGAAAGGACAAGGTCCTAAGTGCAGTTGCAATATTAAATATTGCATATAAGGCATTTTTGTCTAACATGGCAACTGGCCTTTGAACCTTGTCATTCTAAGATACCGGGATGTCAAATGTCGTAAAATGTTAAAAAATTATATAAAGCATACATTCCAATAGTGTTTGGTTATTATTGAATACTAGATATTTATTAATATATTGTGAACGGTTTTAATTTAAATTAATATTGTAATGTATTAATAATATGTAATATATTTAAATCAACTAAAATAAAAATACCTTCTTATTATGCATTGATCTTTCTAAAGATTTCGATAGTGTCGAGCAACAATTATTACCTTAACTATAGGGTATTAGAGGAGTATCTTTAAATTTGTTTAAATCCTATTTGGAGAATCGGACCCAATCAAAGGTTCAATGCGATGAATATGGATTTAAATTGAAGTCTGAAAAAATTTTAATTGAGAAAGGAGTGCCACAAGTTTAAATACTAGGCCCCATTCTTTACATTATTTATACGAACGAACTTCCATATATTTTTAAGGAAAATATAATACAATACGCCGATGAAAGGTCTCTAATATTTGGTTTAGACGCAATTAAAAATGCAGATTGCCTTAAGGCAACAAATAATTATTTGTTGGTCAATAGAAATTTTAGATAATTATAATAGGTTTAAATCAAATTCTTCTTTTAAACAAAAATAAAACTCAAATATTTAATTTTAATTTAATTAATTTTAATTTAAATTTATTTTTAATTGCAAAAATATAAATTGGAAGAATTTTTTTAGTAAAACAAACTGCATCATATGTAGACCTTAATTTAACAGTTAAGCTGTTAACTATAGTTAACAGCTTATATTTATAGTGTTTTTATTTTTGAGGTTTTATTCGTGAAAAATTATATAGATTTCCTTGAAGTATATAAAAAGGGCATTGTTATGATACAAGATTAAGATCCAAATTATTAAGTTAATAAACTAAGTTTATCTCCACGCGGTCTATAATTTAAACTTTATTGTTGTCAACATTCGATAAAGAAATACCTTGTTATGGCCTAGGCCGATAAAAAATTTTATGAGGAAAGTAATTAGTTCGATTTTTTCTCGCTAGGGGTATTGTTTTAACAAATTAATCCTTTTCTAAGAAATTAACGTAATAAACTGGTTTAATTTATTTATAATAAGCACTAATTTGTTTGTTTTACTGTTAATGTTTAATATTTTTTATTAAATTATTGTAAAATTAAATATAAATAATAAAACAAAAAGAAAGGTTAGGCAACCAAGAGATTCTTTTTCTACGATTTAAATTATCTTTAAGTTTTAGTTTGCTTTAAGTTTTCAGTGAAATTAAATGTTGAACACAGCTTAAACATTCCAAACTACCTATTTTTTAAATAAAAATCCAAACAAATTGAAATTAGATACCTACCTATGTATTAAACAATTAATTGAATTCAATGTAATAGCAAAAATCCATTTCTACTTAAATCATGTTGCTAGTTATTGTCAAACTATTACTGCTTCTAAAAGCAATAATAATTATTGTACATTTAATGTAATCTTTAGCTAATAAATAAATGAGATTCTAAAAAATTGAGGTTAGGTCGCTTTGATGTTGAATTAAATTGACCTATATAAAGTGCTTTAAAGATAAAATGTTGTATGCCATTCGGTCAAGAAGTGCCTTTTTGTGCTTCGATCAATTGTAGGCCTCCGCTACGCGTCGGCCTTCAAACCTTGAGCTTAGCACAAAAAGCCTTACTTCTTAACCTAATGACATAAATAACTATTACTTATCTTTAGAATAATGTTCCAAATACTATAGTTATAACTATATATAGTATTTGGAACATTATTTTTAAGATAAGTAAACTTTAGTTTATTAACTTACTAATTTGGATCTTAATCTTATAAGGTTTTTGGATCTTAATCTTAAAAGGTTTCAACAAGCTACCAGAAAAATTTAGAGAACTTTCCATTAAAAAAGTTTAAATCAAATTAAAATCAATTTTAATAGATAAATCTTATTTACTCAAGGGAAGAATATTTTAATGATTATCTTCAGCAATATTTATTGAAATGTTATGTGGTGTATGGACACATTTTTTATTTATTTATTATTTATCTTTTTTAAAAGTTTTTAAATTATGTTTTGTAAATAGGTACATCTCTATTTGACGTGTTTTACACCCTTTGGCCGTTTCAAACAAAAAAAGATTCGGACGGACTCTACTTTTCGTCATCATAATCTCCTAATTCTGTATACAAAATTTTAAATGAGGTGTGCAAAATTTAAGAATCAGGATAGCACAAAAACAAAGTGAATTTTGTCAGTGGGGGAGCTAGAAAGAAAAAAAGGTGTGCAAAATTAGGAGATTATGATGCCGAAAAGTCCGTCGAAGCAAGTTGTGGAGTAAACGTCAAGTTTGCCCCCCCCACATGATTTTCCTTGCCATTTCCAAACCGGGTGTGTGCAAAATTTAAGAAGGAGTGTTTGCAAAATTATGATGTACAAAAGAGGGGGGTTGTACGGTTAGGGGGAGCAAACTTGACTGACCCGTTTAAAGATACGATTAAAAAAAACAAACAAACAAAGTTTATCAAGTTTAATACACTCCATTTTAGTCATGAATTTAAATTAGGCACGAGCGAGCTTGCTAGCGAGTGTTTAATTAAATGAGAAACTAGAAAAGTTTATGAACGAGTTGTATACTTTACTTTTTATATGACAAATACTTATTATTATCTAAAAATGATTTAAATTAAATATTTGTATAAAGCGACATCTATACAAAAATAGAGTAACCCTATAGAGCCAATAAAACATTATTTTTACTTTCACTATGAAAAACTGCTTCTATATAGGATTTAAACGGTTGTTAGTCCATTTTCAAAGGATACATTTTGATTTACGCATAAAAAATTGACATTTTCCGCTGGTAATACAGATTCTTATAAGAATAAGAATCTGTATTACCAGCGGCAAATGTCAATTTTTTATGCGTAAATCAAAATGTATCCTTTGAAAATGGACTTATAAGAATCTGTATTACCAGCGGAAAATGTCAATTTTTTATGCGTAAATCAAAATGTATCCTTTGAAAATGGACTAACAACCGTTTAAATCCTATATAGAAGCAGTTTTTCATAGTGAAAGTAAAAATAATGTTTTATGGGCTCTTCACGGTGGAGTCCTCACACGAAATGTTTAATGCTTTATCCGTTAAATCTAGTTTTCTGCCGGCAACAGTGTTATACACCGTGCTACTAGCGAAATCAAAAGGTCAGTACAAACTTTTGAATTTTTATATTAAGATAATACAATAATTTTTACATTTGGTTTTCCTTCACAGGATTTTATTTTAACGATTGTATGACATTTGAAAACTGTCAACTTACTTAAAGATAACTTCAGCCTCCTGAGTAAAAACCTGTTCTAAACTTCAGCCTGTTACTAAAGCGCCATAAAGCCATAGCTTGTCATTGTGTATTTAAAAGATCACTTAGTGACTAATGTCATGGAAACATGTGCGATAATGGGCGTTTTAAAGCTGGGAGTAGGAAAAAGTATTAAAACACAAAAGTGTGTCAGCATATTCTTACTTAAAAACCCATTTTTAAAAGCTATAATATTACTGCAGCAATTTTGGTTTTTTTATTTTGCTTTTAAAAGGTACGGAATATTTAAACTTAAATAAAGCAAGGAAATGTATCTTAACTTTGTGTTTAAAAATAAATTTGACAAATGATGTAAATTTATTTGTTGTCACCAGTTATAAAACACCCTGTATGTATAGTTAAATAAGTTATTTAATTGTCAGTGTTACGAATGCATTAATAAAATTTAACTACTTACTTAGTATAATACAGAAGTTATGCAAATATAGTGCACTGAAAAATGTTTATTTTATTTTTAAAACTTTTATAGCGCTTTAGTTAAAGTGCCACGTGCAAATTGTCAAAGTTTTACATATTAGTATAAATTTAAAATTTTAATTCAAATAAAAAATAAAACATTTAAAATAAGATGATAAAATGAAAAATTTTAAGCCGCATTTAAACTTCGAAATATTTTAAATGCACAGAGATAAACTCGAATATATTTTACCGCTTCAAGATAAATTGTCTGCAGAACTTCAAAACAGTTGACCGTTGACGTTTTAATTAAATTCGATGCGGAGAGACGGCTAAATTATTTGTACTTATCTTCGCAGCAGATATAAAATGCTTTTTCCCAATTAAGCTGGCCGCTGCGATTAACAATCTACCTGTATAATTGCAAAGCCGGCCATCTTATTTTAGAATTCCTCGCTGACGATTATTTCTCAGGATTGATTTACCTAACCACTTAGCAGTGAGCATTACAGCAGAAAAATTTAATTAATCAATTTATGTTTAGTTTATTATTAAGGAGATTTTGCATGCGAATCGTCATCCTAATAACCCATATAAGGATTACGATATAGCAAGAGTTTTTAGTAAAGCTACATTATTTTTATAGTATGCCTATATAATAATAAAGCTTGGATCACCTGTATGGATATAACTGTATTGTAAAAAACATAAATTATCTTGGATACAAATTTTATTTAATAATATAATATTTTATCTTCAATTATTGGTCTATAAATTAA